CCTTTCTTTCCTAGTGGACTCTGGTATGTCGCAAATTCGTCACTAAAATTTGATGTTCATATTTACAAGTGTTTAAACTTCCTCACTAACTTATAATCTACACCTTTCTTTGCTTGATTATAATTAGTATAAATTTTGACTTTCGAATTGAAATCTGATTTCTGCTCAAAACTTTAGTATCTTCAATTGATGTATCATAGTGGGACATTTAGTTAAAACGAAAACAGGCCTTTTGTCCATCCATCTTATTACGTAGTATTAGTTCTTTTTAATCCACAAACTTTCCCTGTCTTCAGTTTTTTAGAACACAAACTTTTAGATAAAATTTTCTGTTTTGTCTGTAAGTTTCGCAAATCTGAGTATTACGCTGCATAAGAGATTTTTGGTCACACAGTAGTATAAAAAATGTCACAAAAAAAGAATCCTGTATTCATCACAAAAAGGTATTAAATATGATAATTACATCTTCTGCGTGTTCCATTCGTCTACTTGCATCTGATTGACCGGAGTAAATTTTAAAATACATTATCCATTTGTGCAACATAGCTTATACTTAACATATTTTTTGCGATTATTTGTTATGTATGGTCTAAAGCCTAACCGACCTTGTCAGTTAACCATAGATTCATTTATTATTACACGTTTCATCATCAGCCTCTCTCAATCCACTACTGGACATAGGCCTCCCCTGTTTGACTCCAAAGTGTTCTATCTTGTGCTTGCTGTATCCAGTTTTTTGTTGTCTTTCGTAAGTCGTCTTGCCATCGTGTTGGTGGTCTTCCTCTGCTACGTTTATCGGCTCTTGGTCTCCATTCAACTAGTTTGCGAGTCCATCTTCCGTCCTTCATTCTGGCAACGTGTCCAGCCCATTTCCATTTTAAGTTACAGCTTCTTCCAATGACGTCTATGACTTTGGTCTTAGCTCGTAGATCTTCGTTTCTAATCCTGTCTCGCAGAATGGCCCTATCATTGATCGCTCCATTCTTCTCTGCGCTACTCTTAATTTTTGTGCGTTTTTCTTTGTGGGCGATAATGTTTCTGTACCATAGGTCATCACCGGTAGCACGCATTGGACGAAAACTTTTTTCTTCATATTAGTTGGGATGTCACTCTTAAAAACGTTCCTAAGAGCTCCGTATGCTGTCCATCCTTGTATTATTCTTCTGGATACTTCGGTTGTTAGATTGTCCTTACTTATCTTAATTTCGTGACCCAGATATATTTATTTGTCTACCAGTCCTATTTCTTCATTTTGTGTTTCAAGGTGTTTACTTGGTACTAAGTTCGTCATATGTTTTGTTTTTGTTATATTCATTTTTAAACCTATTTTATGACAGGCTGTACTAAGTTCATCCAACATTTTTTTGTTTGTCCCAAATCGTCTGCAATCAGGACAAATAAATCGACTGCGTTGCTTAGGTGGTGTACCATCTCTCCGTCCACATTTATTCCTTTGTCATCCCATTCGAGGGTTTTGATCACTTTTTCTAGAACCGATATGAAAAGTTTGGGTGACAACGTATCACCTTGTCGGATACCTCTTTGGATTTTTATTTGGTTGCTGTTAGCGTGTAGTAGTATCGAGCTTGTCGCATTTTTATATATGTTACATATTAGCCTCGAATATCGGTTATCAATGCGGCTCTCGTTTAGAGCTTCTAAACTGTCGAGTTCTGCTAGTCGAATGCTTGTGGAAAGCAATCAGAGCAAAAGTTTGCTCTGAATCCAAGTTTGTTCTCTACTTTAACTAATTTTTTGTCTAATCTTGTGGTGATTACTCTCGTGAAAAGTTTATAAAGATGGTTTAACAGACTGATTGGTCGGTAATTTTCCAGATCAGTTTTTTCTCCTTTTTTGTGCAGAAGAATTGTTTTGGCTGTATTCCATTCACATGGTATGAATTTCTTTGTCAAACGTAGATTACAGATTATTACACGTTTACTCAGTTTAAAATATAGCTGGAAACTTTTTTGTACTTAATCTACAGTGACTTACAGTTCTTCACCAGTATCTTCTAAATTTTTCACAAAATGACAGCATTTTAATAATAACAAGAACCTCTCTCTTGTCATAACTTTTGTAATAAATTCGTTATGAAAAGGGGAATCTTGATCAGTACACATTGATTTTTGGTACATCAACAATGTTCATTGCTAAAATAATGGCCAAAAAATTACCGTAAGCTCAATCAATTCGTCCGTTAAATAATTGAAGTATTTGGGATGGTGTACTTGCATTCATGGGTATATCATTAAAAATGTCAATATCTGGACGTCACATTAAATTTGTTGTCAGTAGAAATACTCTATGTATGCTATATGCAATTTTCAAAAGCAAGAAAGTTATTAAAAACGCACACACAAGAGATAGACTATTTTTGGTCTACACATTAACAGAAATCGATATGGCCCATATATGCGCTGTATCGCAGCCAAGCTGTTGAATCAAATATTATGTACATCGTCATAGTGTGTAGTATTGTAATATTAGATAATTTCATTGAAGTACTCTTTAAAGACTGATTGTCTGCCGTTAGACATAGACCTCATTCGGTTTCTAATGTTCTCAGTTTTGTGTACCGTGAAATAAATATGTTTTAAATGTTGGAGCAACGTATTTTAATGAGTCATAATTCTTGACACATAAAAAAACTTATATCATGAACTCGCTATGAAACTTTATCGTTTAATGTCTCTGTAAGGGTCCAGCTCTCCATACCATAGAGCAATGTGGAGAATATGTAGCAGCGTATTAATCTGATTTTAAGATTTAACGTAATATCTCTATTAATTAGAATTTTCTTTAATTTATAGAAGGCGGCTCTGGCTTTTTCAATGCGTATTCTTATTTCTTTATTTATATCCCAGTTATCGTTAACGTTTGCACCCAAGTAGGTAATATTGTGGACTCTTTCTAACTCTATTCCATACGCTCTGCTGTTCGTTGGTTGTAACTCCGTTTTGCTGACAACCATAAATTTTGTCTTAGAAGTATTAAGTTTTAGCCCATATTCATCACATGCTTCGGTTATCCTATTTATAAGTCGTTGCAGGTCTTCTTCCTTGGAGGCAATAAGTACCGTGTCGTCTGCACACGGTTCTACCGACTTAATCATATCGAACAAGAGGATGATTGAACTAATAAAAGGAACAAAAATATTGGGAGAAACAAGATGATTCGTTAGTATCGGTAGAGAAGAAACAAAATACTAAAATACAGAAATGGTAAGTAAGAATGTTGTACAAATATAAAATCACATTAAAAATAGTAGATACTCCGTCAAAATAATCCCTATGAGACTACGGGAAAAATCAACAAATAAAGACCAAAGTACTTACATGTTAGCAGAAATGCAAATAGAAGAAGCAGAAATAGAAAGAAAACAAAAGGGGAAAATTAAAAATAGATACAAAATAAGTTGATACTTTTTAGAAGAGGTGAAGCAAATTGGCAAGTCGTCAGTAAACCGTTTATCTTTACGCATGTGCAATGAGCAATTTGTAAACTGTCAGATAATGTACCCAGAAGGAATAATATTTGTATAAAAAACGCGGAAGGTATATTTGGGTCTAACCGTCCCTGTATGTCATCGATTAATCGGGGCATCGCGACCGTTGGCGGGACGGCACTCTAACCAAATTTCGAACCCTTCGCACTACTAGGTTCGTTTATATCAAGCAAGGGCTACTAGATGCAACAAACACGACATAATAACGTTCGTGACGCTTTATATTTTCCGATTATGTGTTTATTTTTCATAGTTAAATCGTTTTTGTGCGCGTGTTAACAGTAGGTTTTCATACTGATTCATAGTGGCAAAAACTGCAATCGAGGGGATAGTGAGTGCATCTGCGAGGGGAGTGCAGTGACGCTATTTTTCCGTTTTCCAATTCTGCTGTGGAATAATGAGTGACATGGAAATTATGGATTCAAGGATTTTGAAAATCATGATTCATAAGGTCTAAAACTAATAATTTTTGTTTATATTTCGTAATATTTGATAACTTGCTAGTGTTTGGTATGTCAACTGTCAAATTTAAATGTTTTTCAATATTAGCCAATAAGAGGGAAATGGGTAAAAGGATACAAGTCCGCTATGTAAACAATGATCCATAAATCAATTATTTAACCATTTATAAAGTATATTGTTTCACAACAATTAAACATTTTGTTTAAAGAGTTCTAAGAATAAATTGTTTTGTAATATTTACCACTGCTAATTGGTTTTTAATTAATTAATGTTTTATATAAAGTATTAAAATATAATCGGTGACATAGAATAACTACAGATGAATTCTTCCAAGTTTTCCTGTTACTTTCTTTTATGCTTCTTGTCATATGACAGTAGTGAAGTTTTAAATTTATTGTGTCCGTCCTTTTACTAGTCTAATGTGTTCATTTTGCGTTATTAAATTTTAAATAGGTATTTAACATTTTAGCAAACTGTTTCCGCCAGCTTTATAATTTATTTTACGGGGTTAGGATTGACACATCAATTCTGAGGCTTGATTGACTTCTATATAATCATATAATATAATCATTTTATATTTAATCTTGCAGGCTTTTATTTTCTCATTAAATTCGGCATTTCCTACAAAATTGTATTTAACAAAATTTGGAAAATGTTGTGTGGTTGGTAAAATAAATATTATAGCTAGGAATTATTTAAAAAACTTTCGAGTTTTAACTTGTTTTTTTCAGTCAGTTGATTTTGTTCGGGTTTCAATTTGATATTTTCCAGTTTGACTCACTGGGTAGTAATTCTACCAGCACTAACTACTTTTAAATACTTGTAAATAAAAAAGCGCAAAAAGTTTTCCAGGCTGTTTAGAGAAAAGAATTTTATACATAAAGTGTACACTTACATATTCAATATACTATATTTTAGCACAACATAGTATATTTCATTGTTTGTTTATTTTTTACAGTATTCTTGTTTTTTATCTCTTATTCATTAATTACAATTTCCACATTTTTATAACAATGGTTTTATTTTTTTCAGATGGCTTCACTTCCTCTTTCTCGAGGATCAACCTACTCTAGCTCAGATTCGGATGATTCAGATGCAGACAGTGCTATGCTGGCATCGTGTAGTCTGCAAGAGATCCGACAAGAAGATCTAGCTGCCATTTTACCTGACCAACAGGAGATTGATGCTTTCGATTTTGAGTGCAACCGAAGTGATAAGAACTCTCCTACAACAGGAGACATGTCAGGATCTGACATGGAGCTTCCCCAACAAGCAGTCAACGCCTTGATCCAAAGGACAACGGAGAGTTCTAGCGAAGGAGAATCTCACGCACCTCCTAATCCTAATAGTTTATATGCGAATAGCTTGTTGCAACAATTCGTGGCACAGACACAGATGCTAAATGCACCATGTCCTACTATACCAGCTGTAAATGAAAATATAAAGCCTGCTGTACTTACTGCAACCACATTGGACACTCAAAGTGCTAAACCTGATGTGGAGAACATAAAGAAACGGCGAGGCAGGCCAAAGAAAGTTGAAAAAGAAGCTGTTTCAGAAAAACCGCAAGAATATTGCACCAATCCAAATGTGTCCCCAGATTCTGGCATTCAAAATAGTCCAGATCATGTTTCCAGTCCAGAACCTAGTCTATCACCTAGTATAAAGCAAAAGTCTGCTGTGTGTCCAAAAGAAGATGCAAAAAAGGTGGAAAAGTCCCTACCCAAGATGGTAAAAAATGAAAAAGCTGTGACTAAAACTAACAATAATGTGAAACAAGTACCTGCGATTGTTAAATCAAAAGAAGTAAAGGAAGTGAGTAAAATCTCAGTAACGTCCAATAGATTTGATAGAGTTATGTATGGAAATGCAGATAGAGTATTATACCCACCTAGAAGGAAAGCTGGAAGACCACCTGCAGTTAAAAAAGGTCCTGGAAGGCCACCCAAACACCGAACAACTCCAGAAGCAACCATCGTGAAACCGGTGGAAAAATTGAAAGAAAACCAACAAAAAGTTGTGAAAGCTAGAATGAGAAACAGGCCGGTGCTTAGTACAAAGAATAGAATTGACAAAAGAAACCGTTATCAGACACTCAAAGTTCCAAAACTTATGCACAGCAAACACAAGCATAAGAAACACAAAAAATACAAATTTAAAGTTTTCAAACCAATGTCAACTTCGGATCCAAAAATCAATATTGAAATTGACAAGCTCATAGCAGATTTCATCAAATATTGCGCTATAGCAACCAAACAACCAAAGGAAAATGTACCGGAGCAAATATTTAAGACTCTTAAGAAAGTAACAAAGAAAAGGAAAACAACAGAATACTCAGAAAAGAAGAAAAAGAAACAGAATGTCAGCACAACTGATAACAAGGTAAATAACTCAAATGAACAAAGACTGCCTCTTAAGAAAAGACATTATCATGTGGTGAACAATAACGAAAACAAAACCGAAACTGAAGAAATCAAACCTGAGCCAGAAGAAGGCCTGAAAAATAAAATGAAGCAAAGTATTCCTGCAACAAAAGTAGAGAAACCGAAAATGGGAAATGTTACTCCAAAAACTGAAATTCAGAAATCTTCAGTATCTCCTAGACATGTTCCAGTAATTAAATCTAACATAGTTGCAACTCCAAAAATCCAAAACATCAATAATAATGAATATGAAGTGCAAGAAGCTACAAAGATGAATGTCAAAGACACTGGCAAGGTGGCTGTAAAAGAAATTACTGAAAAGAGGTCAGTCATTAAAGAAACTCCAAAAATTGTCAAGGATCCATTGAAACCAGCTAAAGAACAAGTCAAGTCAGTCAAAGAACCTGTTAAATCTCTAAAAGAATCTAAACTGGTTAAAGAAACTATTAAAGTCATTAAAGAACCTTCCAAACCGCTTAAAGAAGCTGTCAAAGTAATTAAAGAACCTTCCAAACAACTCAAAGAAGCTGTAAAACCGGTAAAAGAAGCTGCTAAAACAGTCAAGGAACCTCTCAAACCACCGAAGGAACCTGTAAAACCTGTTAAAGAATATGTAAAACCAGTGAAGGAATCTATCAAGCCAATCAAGGAACCTGTCAAATCTGTTAAAGAAACTGTCAAATCAGTTAAGGAGTCTACCAAAATTATCAAGGACCCAACAAAACCGATTAGGGAAACTGTGAAACAGGTCAAGGAACCTGTCAAAGAACCTGTCAAACTGGCCAAGGAACCTGTCAAACCGGCCAAGGAACCTGTCAAACCGGCCAAGGAACCTTTCAAACCGGCCAGGGAACCTGTCAAACCGGTCAAGGAACCTGTCAAACCGGCCAAGGAACCTGTCAAGCCTGCTAAAGAACCTATAAAACCAATTGCTAAGGAGTTGTCTAAAACAGTTAAAGAGCCTACTAAGGTTATTCCAAAAGAAACAACAAAAACAATTATAAAAGATTCCATAAAGAAAGGTGGTGGGCATATTGATGCGCCCATAGAAGTCTGCGTTACTAAATTATCAAAAGAAAATGATCCAACAAATGAACCAGAAAGAAACCTTCCTTAAATAACGTCATAGAGAAAAAATCTAATTCTATAACTACTACTCCAAAGAAAAGGCATCGCCTAGAACTGACAAATACGGTCGAAAAGCTAACAGCGATCGTCAAAGAAGAACCTGGCATGGATATTGAAGTGGAGAAACCAAAAATTAGTATTGAGTCGTTAATAACTGAGTTAAAAGTTAAAAGAAATCTTCTCCAGAAATCGTCCACTATTGAAGACAAGAAACCACCTGAAAACATTGAAGAAATCATTAAAAAGGAGCAGCCAGCTGATGATCAAAGTACCAAGTTATCACCAGAGTCAGCTAAAAAGAAGGTCAGAAAAAGAAGAGCTATAAACAGAACAGGTAAGAAAATACCAATTTTATATGTGTATAAAACTGTTTTTTTTTTGCATTTATTTCCAATTCGAAAATTCATTTTAAAAAATTCTGAAATAAAAATTGTGAATGATCTTACCTGTAAATGGCCAATTAAGAACATTTGTAGGTTAATACCATTGTAATTTTTATTAGTGAATTTTTTGAAAATCACTGGCATTGGAAATCGAAACGTCAAAGCAAATATAAAAAGTAATACTCATTACAATAAATTGTGGTTTAATCCTACATAAAAAAAACTAAGTTGAAAAGGTAAATCTAAAATCTGATGCATCCACATACTTGTATTGCTCGATATATTTGGAAGATATTTATTAAAAAAAATTTTTTCATCATAGTTTTCTTTTTGTTTTCATTCTTTATCCAAAAAAGCATATTATTTAGATACTACAGTAGAACCTCTATAAGTCGAATGTCAAGGGATGCTCCAAAAAATTCTAGTTAAAGAGTTTTTGACTTAAGGAGGATTTCAACTTACAGAGGTAACTTACATGTTACAGAAGTAACAAACATATTTTTATTTATTATAAAGATATAGGCTAAGATTATAGGCTTCAGATAATTCGGTTGTTTTCTCTCTATAGCATTGTCTATAGAGAGACGAGAGAAGATATACGGAACAGAAAACTTTTGTTGAGAGTTGCTGGTTTGCTCTATAAAATTCAGTAAAGTATTAAATACTGTTTTTGCCTCTTTGATGGAAATATATTGAGCGCATATAGTATTAACAAAGTCTTCTATGCCATCTAAATCATTAGTATTGGTTCTCCGAGCTACTGAATTGATAATTTCACCATCAGATAATGTCCCAGCGGTCATAACTGCATCATCACATGTAACAAAGACCTAAAAGTATATTCCTGATTCAGACACCACTGTATTCAATTCTACACTGCGTAAAATAGAAATATCTTCGGTTTCAGCTTTTTCTGTTGATGAAGATAGAAAACTACAGTGTACATAACATTTTTTTATAGTAGTCATAGTTACATTCCGCCAAGATTTATCAGCCATCTAATTCTTTGTTCTTCCATATCATCGAACATATTACTGACAACTTCGTTTCGATATATTGAGTTAAAGCTTTCTATTATACCTTGATCCATAATCTATAAGCTGTAATTTTGATGTGATAGTGACAGGTGGATAGTGAATTTTAACTGTTTTCATTTTTGGAATGTGGCTGTACAATTATCAATGCATAACAAGATTTTTCTTTTTTTTTCTTTGACCATTTTCTTATCAATATTTATTAGCCACTTTTTGAAAATTGCGTAAGTCATCCATGCTTTTCTATTTTCTTCATATTTTATATTGACTTCTAGAAAAACAATGAGGCTTTTAAGATTCATCAATGACTAATGGTCAGAGTTTTTCTATGCCTTATCAGAGAGAGTCTTATCATGAATACATTTAAAAACAGTTGAAGATATTGTCATATTCATAACCTTAAAACAAATCTTGCAATTCACTTTCCAGTTGTTACAGGTCTCAATGCTTACACTTACACTTTTCCAACAAACTTTTTAAAAGCAATTTCATGTCTTCTTTTGAACTTTTCTAGTCATCCATCACTGGCCCTGAAATTAGCCATCCTCAATGATTTAAAATGTATCTCGGCTTTTTCTTGTAACAGTGATCCATTACTATTGATATTTTGGTTCCAATACTGTTCAAATCATTTAAGTAAGCACTCCTCCAAACCTAAAAAAGATCATGGCTGAAGTCAATGTTTATTGCTCTAACAAAGAAAACAAAATCCGTATCCTGTAATGATTTCCAGACTATCAGCTTAATGATCCATATTTTAGTTATTTTAAAAAATCATACATCAAAGGATATATACACTAATGGAAGACAATCTCAAGAGAGGCTATCTTTATTATACAAGTGCTATTTCATTGATGTCAAGAGATGTGAATTGCAATATTTATACATGCTTCGTTGATTATCATAAAGTGTTCGATACAGTACAGCACGACAAGCTGATGGATATTAACAAATATTGGAATGAACACCTGTGATCTAAGAATGATTTGCAATCTTTATTGGAATCAAACATTGTTTACCCTTACAGAGGCAGGAGGATCTGATTTATACTATCACCCCTGCTGTTTAACATTTACTCTTGGGAAATCTTTCAAAAAGCAGTAGATGATGTTGAAGCCGGAATTATAATTATTAGAGGAGAATGTATCAATAACATCAGATACATGGATGACACTGTAGTATTCGCTGACAGTTATGAAGCCCTCCAGGAGTTATTCAATAGAATCACAGAAATAGGTCATAGATAATGGACTTTCACTAAACACTAAGAAAACAAAATGTATGATGATCTCTAAGAAGGAACAGCAAATTGGAAGAATCAGAGAAATGGTCAACCAACAGAAAGAGTAAAAACATCTATCTACCTTGGTACGAATGTCAATGAAAATTGGGACCATTCCCTAGAAATTAAATGTAGGATAGAGAAAGGAAGATCTGTATTTCAAAAAATGGCTAAGCTATTCAAATGCCATGATTTAGCAGTATCCATAAAAATCAGGTTACTATGATGTTATATCTTTCCTATACTGTTGTATGGAGTTGAGTCGTGAACTCTCACAGACGCTACCTGTAAGAAAATTGAGGCTTTCGAAATGTGGCTTTATCGTCAAATCATGAAGATATTCTATACCGACCACGTTACTAACCAGGACGTTTTATTAAGAATGCAAAAAGAAAAGGGGATGTTAACCACAATAAAAACAGCCAAAATCAAATACCTCGGTCACATCATGAGAAACAGCTAACGATATGGGTTGTTGCAATTAATTCTACAAGGAAAACGTGGACCAGCAAGGTGAAGGATTTCCTGACTGAAAAATCTATGTATGTGGTTCACATAACAACCATGAATCTTTTTAGAGCAGCAGTGTGTAAAATAGATTGCCACGATGGTCGGCAACATCCTAAACGGAAAGGCACTACAAGAAGAAGACTCAAGAAGAAGTATGCATTGGTAGGCCAAACTGTTCAACAACATCTTTCTTCTCTTGACAGCTCTTCATAACTTCAAACATTTCTAACTTTTCAGCGAGTTTTCAGTTTATATTGTTAATTAACTGTTGTAAGAATTGATGTGTTTTGTGATTTAACCAAACTACTTCTGATAATTTTTTAATCAAGGACAAATGACTTGCTTGCTAAAGACCAAGCAAGCATGTGTTAATATTAGTCATATATTCCTTAAGTGGTAATCCTATTAATTTTATAGTAAAATGTTTTCTAATAAACAATGACATACTTTCATTATTGGTGTTTGGAGGGTTCATATTTCGGGTAATTGAGCTTTTGGGGCTTGAAGGAAAGGGAACAAACATTTTTTTTGAGCTTTGGAAGCTTTCGACTTTGAGGTTCAAGTTAAAAAGGTTCTACTATAAATAATATTTTTTTGTTTTATGTTAGACAATTTCTGAGTGTATTTTTTAATGATCATTTCAATCTTAACATTTTAGGTTTTCCGACAGTAAAGAAGAGGAAGAAGAAACCATCCATCGATTCTTCCTCCACTCTTCCAATGGACTCACAAATTTCAAATGCCTGCGACCGTGTTCCAAAAGAAGGAGAAGAGTACACAAAGTTTGTTCAGAGAACAGAAAAATCAGAGAATTCAATATCGACACCAGGAACTCCCGAAAAAATGAAAATTGATGAGTCTTCCAGGTGGGAGATGATGAGTGAATGTGAAAGTTTACCCATGGATGAAAGGACGGAATTCGATGATGAAATGAAATCAGAAAGGTCAGTATTTTTATATACTCAATAATAATATATTTACCCTTATTTATTCTCATAGTTCTTACTGCATGCTGAAGTATATTCTATAGAATAGTGTGATCAGAAAGATCAAATTTCTGTTCACAGTTATCATTATTAGATGACACACATCTTACAGGTCATCCTGTTGCATTCTAACATTTGTAAGTCATGTTTTCATTCCCAAATCAGTCTTTACTTATAAAAATGAAACTCTCTCTTAAGAGGATTCAAAATGAAAGAGTGGGTGAAATAAATGAAAACATAAACAAAATCTACATGCCTTATTATAGCCACAAATTTACATTTAATTATTTTTTTGATCCCTGAATTAATATCTGTCAGAATTTAAATTTTTTTAGATTTGTCATGACAGTGACCTTCATCATCTGAGAGATCAGGATACATTCTACCTTATATTGAATCATATAAAAAAACCTTAGTATATTCCATCTCTTTACTATTTAATTTTTTATCGTTCATTTGAAGCTGATTTCCTGTTATATTTTACATTGAATATTTGCCTAAAATAATATGCAATTTTTATTTTATAGGATGACATTACGTCACAGAGACCTATCTCCCTCATCAGTAGACACCAGAAGCAGTGACCGCAGCAAATTCAAACTGGACGATCCTGACGACTTTGACATGTCTCTGGATTCAGGTATAGAACGCCTCAGATCCAGATTGGAAGATAGAACGAAGCGAAAGAGAGGCAAGGAGCAACTGTACGAAAACAACTATCCGAAGAGGAAATTGAGAGATATATCTCCCGCCAGTAGCATAGAACCTTTCACGGAAAGGAGGTTGAAAGAGGACCGGGCGTCTAGTTCTGGCGATGAGAAGAGAGGTAGAAAGAACTTCAAGTGGAGGAAGAGGTATCTTGTGGCGGGGTTGTTTTCGGATTACTACAAAGAAGATGAGTAAGTAGAATTATTGGTTTTTCCTTAAAATTTTCCCTAAAACATTGCTGCGTGTCGTGCAAAGGGCTATAAGTCCGAATTTTGTGTAAGCTAAACAGTATTTTATATTCTCAAAATTACCTTCCTTGGCCTCATTGGTTGTCATATTCATATAAATATTCCTGGTGGTTTCTTATTTAATTATGTAAAAGTGTTTCAGTTCAATTGGCTGAAACTTTGCAATGACGTAATTTTGGTCATGATGATCAAAAGTTCTTGTGTCCCAAGGCTCAGAAATCAATTGTTTCTGAGTTATAGAGCTTCAAAATATCTGTTTCTAGTCCATTTTTCAATATAATTAATTTGGAAATGTAGATACCGGGATACTCCACCGAGATGACCACATGGATATCCTACCCAGGACATCCCATCTTGTTTTTGACAGGGAAACGTTCAGAAACGACATTCGATACCATATTTCTGTTTATTGAGATTAAGATACCGTATATTGAATGTATGGGACGGTACGTTTCCAAATTCATGTATTGATAAATGGACTACAACCGATATTTTGAAGCTCTATAACTTGGAAACAACTGGTTTCTGAGTCTTAGGTCACTCTATAATAGAAATATTTTATCTGAGTTCTTTACACTTCATTGTTTGGAAGCTCTTGATTTTCTACACAATAGTATTGAGCCCTAAAGCATCAAAACAATGAATAATTAATTTACTGTCCTTACCCAGCTGAATTTAGTTTGCTGGACAGAATCAAAATTACAGCACTTCATGAAGAAAAAACTCGATTTGTGTTAATGGTTATACTGCCATATTTCCTACTTTATACTTCAAATTAAAAAAGTAATAATTATAAATCACTACCACTAAAATAAACTCTTTCTATTGATTAAAATTTCATCTAAACATATATATTTTCATTACTTTACAGAAAAGTAGTTTTAAACTTTTTTTCAACAAAAGTGTTATTGCTGCAGCTATGAAATTGAGCTATTGAAACAAGATTTTAATAGAACATTATAATCTATTGTTACTTACATAATGCATTTGTTATAACTAAAAAACAATTTTTTTCTTGTGTTTTTTAACTTTTTTAATGGACATGGTGTTGTATCCCTCTAATAAAGTTATTGTAATGTATGGGGGCATTCAATAGCAACTACAATACTATTTGACTTACAAAATTTATTTAACCATACAATTTACCTTTACAAATACAAATAATATATCTAAGCACTCAGTCATCCTCAAGTAAGTCTCATTCTGGATAGTCACTATTAGTATTACTAGTATGCTTTAAGTTTTTATAAAAATGATGGCAAAATGTAGCAACATATTATGGCAGTAATGGCAATAGATCATTATACTTTTGTTGTGATATAGGTATTGGACTTTCTAATACCAGTTACAAATCTTTTGGCAATGTAAGGTGTCGCCTTCGAAACCTAACAAGACAATCTCCTGGTTTTCATCATAAAAATTACCTTTCAAAAATGGAGTTCCCATGCTGTTTTGTTTCACTTGCAGTTATACACAGTTTGGCAGAAGAGCTTGTTGTTTGTTAATGTCTCTTTTTTTAGTCTAAAGTTAATTAAACTTCTGAGTGATGATTTTTTACTTGAAGATACTTGAGTATTGAGTATCCAAAAGAAACGCATAATAATACTAAGATTTTTATTCTAGTCATAACAATTGTCTGACCATAGTATGATTTCTTCTATCTCACTGCCAGGAATAACAGTATCTGTCCATTTCAGTAATGCAGATCCGATTTCATTTCCACCACGAGTAATTCATCATAACTTTTGTCTATATCAGACTAATCTTCTTTGTCAAAACTCAAGGCATCTCTAATAATATGCTCTTCATTTAAAACAGCATTGCTTGGTGTATTACTTGATTCTGAAATAAAACAAGACTTATAGTATTGGTTGTAAAAGATTTAATAATATTGCTAGTCTAAAGCTAGTGTCAAATCAACTTTTTGATGTTAAGTTTTTTAATAATTAAAAATAATGAGCATAAAAGGTGGGTTACCTGCAAATGCAGTAGAAGAATTCTCAGAACTTTTCAGTAGATCAAGAATCTTTCTCCCACGAGAATGGTAGTTAATTATTCTTATTAGTAACAAACAACTGTAAACACACCATAAATGGCAAAAGTACTATTATTAGATCACTAACAGTCTACCTGTCATCATAGAGATATGCAACGTTATGTGCGGCGGTAATTCGCATGCGTAGAGAGATAAAACATTAAGTTCACATGGTGTTCTATCCCTCTATGTGAAAATGGACTTGTTGTTCTTTTAATGGTCACTATCTCCATTAGCAAATGGTTTAGGACTCTATTCCTTTAAATAAATTAATAGAAATTGATTAGTGTGTAAAAATGTCAAAATTGAAAAAAATAGTGTATTCCTCCGAGGTACAGATATACATTAATGGCTCAAATGCCCTTAAATTATACTTTATGTACATACTTATATGTATGGTCATCTGCTTTCGACATCACAAGATATAAAATCGGAGGATATTTCAGATATGGAATAATATGTGGTCTGGATTCCTAGATTATTTTTTCTAAAATTATATCAAAATTACATCTAATTTTGTCAGATTCATTACATGACAATTATATTTTATGATACAGATTATTTACTATACCGACCCTATCAGTCAAAATAAGAAACTTGGCTTATAATAATTTTCTTATTGCATTTGTGATGCAAACAAAATTACTTTGTATATATGTTAGTTGGTTTTTTATAAGAGGACAATTTTTGAAGAACTGTGGAATCATCATCATCAAATTCACACATATTTAATTTGTCAACTGTGTTTGTGTTTACTAATAAATTCTGCTGATTCCAACCTTCTCATCTGTTTGAAGCTTAAATATTATGAGATAGATACAAATTAATTAAAGGATCAAATGATGGTCAAATTGTTTGATTACTTGTAGATTAGTTGATTGAGAATTTTATTAGGATAGCTGTTATTCAAAAATAAGCTACAACTTATACTTACATGACAGGCAATATTATAACATACCAACAAATCCCGTTATTTACAAAAAGTTAACCTACATAAATGGCCTAACTAACAATATAATTAAACTGCTGTTTTCTTTCTTTTTAGTGAGACCAAACTTCATAAACGTACTGAAAATGCAAATAAACCAACTCGCAATTTGACCTACAACCCGTCAGAACATCCTTATGGACTTTTACCGCCACCCTACCATTGTGGTAAATTTCTGAGATGCCGGAAAATACCCTTCCAGTTGCCGTACGACATCTGGTGGCAACATACTCACTCACAGTTGCCAGGAAAAGACGCGGTGCCTTCATGGAATTACAGGTAAGTGAATATTTTCGTCTCAATAGAAAAATGTTAATAATTGTTGTTTTAGAATGTCTGCTCAATAATGTTAAAACAAAGTATAATTACTATGAAGAGTTGTTTTTCACTTTTCTTATTCTTTTCCTCCATCTTGTTTTTCTATATTCGTTAGCTCCAAATTTAATTATTGATGAATCTTGTTTATTTGAAATACATCAGTTCTTTTCTCTATGCTATTATGTAATATTATTAATTTCTCTATATTTTCCCCTTACTGATTTTTCCTATGTATATTTTTTTTTTCGAAATTGTTCATTCTTCCTTTCTATCATATTCTGATTATTCATATGTAAATACATTGTCTTTTGTTTTCGTTTTTTGTCAGCATCCCCTTTCCGTCTCTTTCCCGGTATCTTTATGCCATTTTAAATTTCAACCACTCTCGTTTACACATTTCTCTTTCTTTCTCACGTTTTTTGTATGCTTAATTCTTCTCATTTTAACTTATTTATCTAAACTTTCATGTAACATTTCCATCCTCGCTTTCCTTTCCATTCTCTAGCATTCCATTACTCTCTATTCTTTCGGTTTATCTTCTCCATCCTTTTTGTATTGATTCAGTTTTCTTCCTTTTAGTTCCACTTGTTTTGCTACTCATTATCCCAGTAACTATCACTATCTTTTCCATTTGTGTATATCCTGTTGTGTATTTGTTTCCTTTCTATCCTTCCATTTCGCTTTTATTTTTTTTTTATCTTAATATCTTATTTTTCATCTCTCACTCTAACTTGCAAACCATTGATACTGTTTTATCGATCTATTTCCTAGTTTTCCTTTGTATTTCTCATATCCCTTTTTTATTTTATCATTCTATCAGCACTCTGATTATCTCAAGTCTCTTATATTGAATTCCCCTTTTTCAATATTTTTAAATTCCCTTCTCACTCTGAACAGTTTCTACCCATTTTCAATGATTTTAGACATCTATATGTCTCTTGCCACACATTGTCACGTTTTTAAAACTTGGCTTTTTCTAATTATTTATCTCATACATAATATGACATTTTATAGAACCTTTTTTGTTGATAAGCATTGTTTGTTTGAAAACGGTAAAGAGGTTGTGAAAGTCATAAATAGAGGGAAAGGGAAATTAGGATATGTTCTTAAATTATTTATGTACATTTCATCTTCTATAGTAATTTTTAAATTTTGTTTAGGAAAATAAGAACAAATGTCTACAACATCAAAAATACGACAGGAGCATGCGAACCGCAGGCCTGTAATTGTAAACCTTCCAGCAATTGTGGAGATGATTGCATCAACCGACTGGTGTATTCGGAATGTCCTGCTTCCCATAGGTGTCTAAATCAGAAGATACAAAGACACGAAGGGGCTCCAGGATTAGAAAAATTCATGACAGACTCAAAAGGTAAAAATTTGCCATTAATAATAACTTTTCAATTTTTTTACTTGAACTTTAGTCATTGAGCCATTCAACTTATTCTTATGTAACAATCGTAAAATAGTTTCGAAAGTTTCGACAGATACAAAGGCGCTGTTTGCGTGAAATCAAATATTTGCTGTCTTTTTCACTTTTTTCGGATTTACTCTGTACGAGTACAAGAAACCAATTCGCTAAGGATTTCTGCTTAGTTGAAAAGATGTGTCGTGGAATGCAAATTTTAGATTCCCCACGTCTCTTTTAACACCTTTATCAACGTCTGTTTTGCTTTGCAATTTTTAGAAAGCACAGATAAAAGCAGAAATCTGAATTGTGTTTCGAAACTATTTTACGATTGTTAAATTAGATGTCGCTAGTGCGTCCGTATTCGAAGCCATGTTATTGTTGCTTCTTAAAAGACAGGAAATATTGATCTTTCACGTTGAGAACACCTTTGAATAACTGTTCTGATGAGACCTATTAGGTCGAAATACGTATCAACAGATACAAAGGCGCTGTTTGCGTGAAATCAAATATTTGCTGTCTTTTTCACTTTTTCACCTTATTCTTATGTATTTATAGGTTGGGGAGTTAAAACGAAGCTTCCTATAAAACAAGGTGAATTCATTCTGGAGTATGTCGGAGAAGTGGTGGCTGATCAAGAATTCAAAGAGCGAATGGGCACGATATACACAAACGATACCCATCACTACTGCCTGCATTTAGATGGTGGCTTGGTGATCGACGGACACCGCATGGGAGGTGATGGAAGGTTCGTCAATCATTCTTGTGCCCCGAATTGCGAGATGCAAAAGTGGTCAGTGAATGGACAATTCAGAATGGCCTTGTTTTCACTTAGGGATATTCAGGCTGGAGAGGAGTTAACTTATGATTATAACTTTTCTTTATTCAATCCAGCTGAGGGACAAGTAAGTACGCTTTTTATAATATAATTACAAAAACATTGTTAAGGTATTCATAAAAGAGTTTTCATTTAATTTCTACTAATACTTTCCTTTCAATCGCAATATAACAATTGTTTTAGGTCTATAAAGTATGTAGAAATAAAAATATATTGTGTCATCCGAAAGCTGATTTGTGAGATGGAAGAGGCTTGGTCTCAGTTTGTTTGTATTAGGGCGAAGTCGCCATTGTTTTAAAGTAGTCGCAGAGAACCCTTAAGTCTTCGGTAAGCGCCCTTTCTCCAACATCTTTGGCTTGGTTTTGAAATGCGATAGCCAGGTCATCTGCGTAAGCAAATTTTTTTGATTTTGTCTCTGGAAGATCGGCTGTGTAAATGTTAAATAATAGTGGAGCAAGCACTGAACCCTGTGGGAGGCCATTATTTAGCTTTCTGACATTGCTCTTTGTATCGTTTATATATACTTGAAACAGTCTGTTGGTTAGGAGGATATTGATTAGTTGGCAGGTTTTCAGGCATGGTATGACCTTCATTAGCTTGTAGATCAGGCCTTCTCTCCACACAGTGTCATATGCAGCCGTCAGATCTATAAACGTTACGGCTGTTTTTTCCCGTTTTTCGAAACCGGCTTCAATAAATGTCGTTATGGACAGTACTTGATCACTACAGCTACGCCCGCTTCTAAATCCGGCCTGTTCGACTGGTATCACAGTGTCGGGATGGGTATATCCTGTTATATATAAGTCGCTCTAGTAGTTTGTAGCAGCAACTGAGGAGGGCAATGGGTCGATAGTTTTCGGGTAGTTCACCGTCCTTTCCAGGTTTTAAAATTACAATAACTTTGGTTCTTTTGAACTCTGGAGGTAGTACAGATGTCTTCATTATGTCACTAAAAAAGTCTTTGAGCCAGTGTCGCGTTTTTGGACCACAGTGAATTAGGAACTCATTCTTCCATCGAAACCTACCGCTTTGCCTTTTTTAATTTGATTGAGGCCATCGTTTATTTCGTTCAGAGAGATGCATCTTGAAAACTCTAAAGTAGGAGGAGTGTTTGTCTTAAGTTCTTTTAGAGCTTTTTTTGTAGACGTCGTATGGATTTTGTCAGAGGGGGCACGCGATACTTCAACTATTCTGTTAGCTATCCTTTTCGGATCGATACTGTTCTTGTTCAAGCGTTTCTCTCTGACGGCTCCACCTAGTCTACGTAGCAATCCCCATGCCTTCCGGCTAGATCGTGAAAAATCAATATGCTCTACTGTTGTTTTCCATTTATTAAGTCGGGTTGAGTCCAGAGAAGTCAGTAGACTATCAGCAATCTCAGGATCTTCGGAATCCACAAATTCTTCATACAGTCGTTGACTTTCTTCTGTCCAGCCTGGGATGTACTCCTTTCGAAAACCACGGGGTATATGTTTTTTGGCTATGGAAAGTACTAAGCTTACAAAGCGGTGGTAGTTCTTGGCTTTCGGATCAATAAAACGGATGCAATCGTCAAGTCTTTTGGTGTATTCCGGCCAGTTTGCTTTGTTAAAGTTCCAGCGTGGTCTTGGTGTGGATTCAACGATAGGAATCTGTACTCCTATGTCGATTATGATGGGACGATGCTGGCTGTGAGGGAAGTTGTGGAGCACGGTTCGGGAACTAGGTAGTGGTCGCATCTGTGAGTTGGGTTAACCCAGCAAAGATCGGGGTTATATCCTTTGTGCCATCTTCTTGAGAAGAATGTGTGCTTATCTTTAGAGCTATAGACAAGGTGTAAGTTGTTGTTCTCAGCCCAAAAAACTAATGTCTAATAATAACTCGCTCATGGCCAACAATTGGCGCTTTTACCCCACATTGTATAAGAATAAACAATCAAAACATAAAAATTGGATACCTACTACCTACATTTATTTCTTACAGGAGTGCAAATGCGGTAGTGACCTCTGCCGAGGAGTAATAGGTGGCAAAACGCAAAGGGTAAGACAACTTCCAGATCAGTCTTCAGTGGACAGAAAGAACTCCGGTAGGGTGGGCAGACCGAGGAAAACGGAGGCGAAGAAGAAATCCAACAATAATAAGGAGGTGGAAAAACCCCCGATTTCTACTCCACTCTTACCTATACTGCAGGTGAAACCTGTGAGTCATCAGCAGAAATGCTTTATCTTGGAACATCACTGTTTCTTATTGAGGAATTTAACTAAGGTTTGTATTTTACTTTTGTTATATATTTTTTTATTAAAAAACTAACTAGCTGAACCAACAGATGTTGTCCTGTCTTAGCTATATGAGTAAAAAAATAAATAGAACTTGGCCTGTTTCTGGAAACCAATATATGGCGTCAATTTGACTTGGCCACTGGCTCAACACAATCCAGGAGCTTCGTCTTTAACCTTAAACGCGTTGCAATATGGACACAAACATTCATTTACTCAACAGCAACGATTTGCTGTAAACTAATTGGTTGCCACGTTATAATTGAATATTGCTCGATGGGGGTTAAAACGCAACATTTCTACGTTGTCGATTTAGATTCCATCGATTCCGTTCAATGCAATTTCGCGCTTCACGATACTCGTCAGTTTGACTTGCTCGTATATTTTTTGACTTGTATCATTGCGAGTTGTACGACCCAAGTTCCTGCTACCAATTACAACTACCTCTAATTTTTTTAAGAATCAAAATTCAAATGAAAATTAATAATTGACTTCCTTAGTATTTCTATATAACCGTGTATACCACTTGCTGGTCTATCAAAACTTACCAAAAATCGACAATAATCGATATTAACTTTTACTATAAGACGTCACTGCAATGATGTAACTGCGACCCTTGTTAATTGTAGTTAATAATTTATTTTTGAAAAAAGGACCTTCTTTAGACAATCACTGAACAAACTAAAAACTTGATAAACGTTCCGATAGAATGGACAGTGCACTAAGAACTCAAGAAACAGTGATGTTGTACATGATACACAAAAACTGCCTGTGATGTTTTAAATTTATTCCACTTTTCCTGGAAATATTTCTCCCCACTGTCCAATTAATCAAAAGGAGAATAGTTGAATAATAAAACAATTTTATTTAGCAGGTATTAATTTTTTAAAATAAAAAATACGTCAGTTAAGTTTTATTCGAAATAAAGATCATAATTTTCATGATTCCCACTGTATCTTGGCTTGAAAGTAATCTGTCATCAAATTCGATACCGTACTTTCCCCATTTATTATGTTCATTTATCTATTAATAAATATTAATTTTGTTACTATAAATTAAAAGCAATAAAATTAAGAAATTCTCCATTATTATGTAATTCTCCATTAAAACCTTAGGACCTTCGACCGACCAATGCAGCTATGACATTTGCATCGTGTCAACTACTAAATGCGAAATTGTTAAATGCGCGATATTTAAATAATCGTTAAGGTTTCCGAAATTGTTCTGAAATAAAATAAATTAAATTAAATAAATAAAATAAAATAACAGGAAATAAAATAAAAACCATCGCCGATTTGTTAATATTTTTGAATAGTTATGGAATAGGTATTTGGGAATATATACATGAATTATGATTGTACCAGTATATTTTGTTTGGATGATAATTATGTTTGGTTTTTCTAGGTCAGGAAAGTACGAGATAGATCTCTAAGTACGGCTTCAGCGGTATCGAGGTTGCAAACCGCGACCCCTACAGACACCAGCACATTCATCAATCAGCTGAACGCTCTTCAGAAACCAAGAAACATGAAAACTAGACGATTAGCGCAAGCTGAAGACGACCCGGAACTCAACAAAACCGTCAAACTAGCTACATTGCTGAAAGATATATGGACGGCTGTAACAACCGCCAAAGATGACAAAGGCAATCTGCTTAGTACCGCATTCATGACGATGCCTTCAAAGCGGAAAGTTCCAGAATTCTACACTCGTCTGAGCAATCCTTTAGATCTGACGACGATTGAACAGAACATAGCCACGGGTGTCTATAAGATCGCAGAGAGCTTCGACGACGATTTTAATCTACTCTTCCGGAATTACATCAGATTTTATGGTCGTACCAGTGAAATGGGAATCGGTGCTGCAAAATTAAAGAAGATATATACGGATTCCAAGAGGGATAGTCTCACGAAGTTTGAGGATACCTTAGGAGAGAAACCGCCGTCTACGTTTGTTTCCAACAGAAAGAAAAGTGAGTATGACTTATTTAGATTATTTTTGTTTAAAGGTCCCTACAGTGGGGGATTTTTGGATAACACAGTACAACCTCAGCATCAAGGGAAAGGCCAAAAAATTTGAGTTATGATTAGATATGAGATAGGTTCATTCTTACTAATTTTGAATTAGAGAGGTGAAATAAATAAAAAATACAAGTTACAGAGGTAACAAAAATATTTTTATTTATTATAAATCGACATTCCTTAATTCATCATTCAACACATCCTTAAAATTAAAAAATATGGCATTAAAAAAGTCAGTATTTTTTTTAATTAGGTAATTCGGTTGTTCTTTAACCAGATATTGGATTTTAACTTCTTTCATTTGTGAAATATCATTATTTCAATTATCAACGAATAACATTTTTCTTTTTTCTTTGAAAATTGCAGAAGTCATCCATGCTTTTGTAGTTGCTTCATATTTCATATTGTCAACTTGAAAAACAATGAGTTCGTTAGATTGACCGATGACTAATGGTGAGAGTTTTTCTGCGCCCGGCATGTTTGCTGCTAGCACATTGTCAAACGTTCCTTGCTATGTTTCCCGCCATGGCAGTTATTATTTTTAAGAGTTAGGGTCTTATTACAAAGACATTTAAAAACGGTCTCTTGCTTCTCAAAGTATTCTTAAAAAAGTGACTTTCAAAGTCTTCTCAGCTTGAAGAAACTCACTAATTATTTCGACTAATAGAGGGTTCATATTTTGAGTAATAGAGGTTTTGGTGTTTAAAGAGAAGGTAACAAAACACTCGTTCGAATTTTGTAGGTTTTATATATATATATATATAATATATATATATATATATATATATATATATATATATATATATATTTTGTTTCTAATATGATATTTCTATATATACGATATTTTATGTTTCAGGTGAAGAGGAGGACATCATCAGGTGCATATGCGGTATACCTCGAGATGAAGGATTGATGATTCAGTGTGAAAGGTGCATGGTCTGGCAACATTGCGAGTGCGTAAAAGCTGACGCGTCTGCTGCCAGCTATCATTGTGAAGTATGTGTACCAAGGAAAGTGGACTACGAGATTCCTCTGAATGAGTTCACTGAACATGGGCACAGGTAATGGATCCATATTAGCTGAAATAACCCATAAGCATTTATCAGTATATCAATAAAGCATTTATAAAAAATCAAATGCTATAGTTTGTCTGTGTTAAAGTAGTAATTTTATTTCCAATAATTTTAGGTACTATATGACACTAATGAGGGGAGATCTTCAACTGAGACAAGGTGACACAGTTTACGTACTTCGAGACATTCCTATAAAAGGAACTGATAAGAAACATACCTATGACACTATAGGTAAGATCGAGTACTCAGAATTGGATATATTTAGGATCGAACGGTTGTGGAAGGAAGAAAAGACGGGTAAACGACTGGCGTATGGACACCATTATTTAAGGCCCCATGAAACCTTCCATGAACCAACCAGGAAGTAAGTAGCCAATATAATACATCATATTTAATAAGGCACATATATATTTTATGAACTGTACTGAAATAAGTGAACTGTCATAGCCTGTATATTTAAATAATTCAAAATTGATCTATTATCGCTATTCGCAGCAAAAGATATCATGTAGTAGCAACACTTAGTATCATATACTACAGATAAAACTTCTAAAAATATTGTCTTATATATTTTGTTATATTCTACTTATTTTTATTACAAAAATGAAATTGTTCGAGTATTACCTTACATTACCGTATTATCCCTCTCAATAGCCTTATTAACAATTATCATTTTAGATGAAAATTATTTTATTTTAAATTAGATCATGAAATTCTGTGCAGCTGTATAGCTTTAGCGCCATTTGAATTTGACAGAAGTAATTATGTATGATTTGCAGTGAATTTTTTATCTAAAATATATCTATAATATACTCTTCCAACAAATCGGGTTTCACAAAACTCAACAATAAGATTAATTAATAGTTTTCTTCTCCTTTATTATACAAATGTAATATGTTAACGCCTTACTGCATGTTTTTTAATATTTTACAAAAAAATCTATGAATACAAACTGGACTTCTTACGGTAAAATATTTTTAAAAATCCTACTTATTTAACTTTTTGTATTTTTTAATTTTGTTTTGTGCGCCATTATATGGCACACTATGCATTAAAATAAGATTAAACAAGTAAAATGTTCAACAAATAAAAACAAAAAGGCATTTATTGCTTTTTAATTATAATACTTGTTCAGTGTGAAAGTTGTAAAAACAATTTCTGTCTTTGTTTAAGCAAAGAAAAACATTAAACTTCTCGCATTTTATGAAGCTTTTTGAACCACAGGGATATTTGCATCTTTGTCTTTCACTACACCATAATGGAAGATAACCATATCCATCTGTTCGAACATCTTGCATTGGAAAATCGGTTGCTGCACCCCTTCTGTTTTTGTTTTGTAAACTTTCCATAGCTCGTCACGGACGACCGCTTTTTCTAGTAAAACCAGCTTTATTAACTTTGCACAAACTCTCTGCTACTGCCATTTTGAAATCTGCCAGAGCTATATTATTGTGCTCATTGTCACTTCTTCTCCAAAGAATCCACACATTGACAGTCATCAATTCAATAATACGAAAAAATATACGTAGATACCATTTTTGGATCTGAGTTTGATTCTATAGTATCCCAGCATTGAATCCAGATCTACTCCTCCCCATATAGTTGTTGTACAGCTTTTGCACATGGAACAATAATATGTTTCTTATCCTTTTTCGAAAACCGTTTAACATCAACTGTTGGCATATTCCCGTTGATAACATGTTTACTAATTTGTTGTCATACTATGTAACAACAGATATTTTTGTATCATCAATTGTGGCGACTTTCTCTACCATAGCTCCTCGGCCGTTCTTTTTTAGTTCAGCCTCTTTTGGCATATTACTGTTTGGTACTCTGTTTATTCTAACTGTTCCTAGTGGTAACATACCCTGTTTCGTTAGATAAATTTGCAATGGGACGCTGTTGAACCAATTATAAAAGAATATTTTGTGATTTATATGTCTTGGTACTGTTTGTGTTAGCCGAAGAATCACATTTGACCTTAAATCAGGTAAACCATCGGGTACATTAGTTTGGCTTCCTGCAAAAATTTCATAATCGTAGGAAAATCTGCTGAGATCACTAAGGACAAACACCTTATATTCCCATTTGTGGGGTTTTTGTGGATTATACTGTTTTATCGATGAACGCGCCTTTGTTGGAATTATTTGCTCATCTATGGCTAAAAATTCCTCTTTCCTTAGTTGACTTAGTAGCAGTCAGATTTTAAAAAGTCTATCATGACCAGGATTACCAGCAGCAATAGCATCGTTATTGTTGGCAAAATGTAAAAAACGTTTTATTTCTTCCCATCCGTTGCACGACGTAACATCTGAGATAAATCGGTGATTCAGGCTAGAATTCCAATAACTTCTAGCATCTAGCAATTGCACTATTGACATATAAATACAGGTTCCTATGAACTGTTCTAGCTCATTTTCAGAAAGATTCAAAGGCTTTTGAGGTCTTTTTTCCACTGAATATAATATAGTTTGAAAAACTATATTTTTGATCATTTCATTTGTTAAAAAAATTTTAAAAATGCGTAAGGGGAATCCTCATCTTGCAACTCAGGTAGCAGGCCAGTAGAACCGAGAAATGTTATCATCTGACGTCACCAGATTTCCTTCTTTCCAGGTTGTTGCAAATATATAATGTAAATCTTTGTTTTGCAGGTTCTTCCCAAATGAGGTAATGAGAGTACCTCTCTATGAAGCCGTACCAGTGGAGTTAGTTATTTCCCCTTGTTGGGTTATGGACATAAATACTTACTGCAAGGGTAGACCTATTGGTGCGGCCCCGGAACACATCTATATATGCGAATACAGGGTGGATAAAGGAGCTAAAATATTTAGCAAGGTACATATTTTTCTATTTTGTTCTATTTATGAATCATCATTAATAATGTGCTTTTCGAGTTCCTTAATTATGTGAGAAGTAATGAAGGGGAAGGGCTCCCAAGTCATAAGGTCATAAGTAAATATCTTGTCTTAATATTGAAATATTAGAATTTTTATATTTAAATGATTTTACTTCTTAATTGTGAACCAAAGTGAGGAAATGACTAGAAGAGCAAGACTGGTATGGACAGGATTTGGAAAACTCAGTTGGATACTTAAGAACCGCAAATTACCTCAATACTCGAGGATCAAAGTGTTTTTGTAGTAGATCCTTTCTATCATGACACGGATGTCAAACCAAGGCAAATATGAATAAACTAGACACAACCGAAAGGGCAATGGAAAGAGCAATAGGTATACGACTGTCAGAGAAGAAGAGGAACGACTGGTAAGATAAAAAAAAGGGTCGAGGATACCGCAACAAAAATTGCCAAACTCAAATGGAGCTTCGCAGGCCACACTGCTAGACAAAAAGACCAATGCTGGAACGACACAATACAACATTGGATATCTTACTAAGGTAGGTGACCAAGAGGAAGACTACATATGAGATGGGTAGATGACATAAAAATTGTAGCCAGAACAAATTGGAAGTATGTTGCTCAGGATAGAGATCGCTGGAAGGAGTTGGAAGAGGCCTCTGTCCAAAAATGGACGACAGAAAGCTAAGAAGAAGAAGAAGACTTCTTAATTTAATTTAGTCTCCCCTTAATTCAGTGCACTTTTTTTAACATCTCAATAACCAAGTGACTTTCTTAAAGCACGATTCTGGAAGGTCTTCAAAAGTTCTCTTTACTACTGTTAGTCCTCTTTGATCAAATCCAGTTTTCAAATTTAAAAATAAATCAGGAGCCATATTTCGAATTCTATACTCTAATTGCTAGTAATGCTTAGATTGGTAATGAATTTTTTTTTACTTTCTTGACTTGATAATGATTGGTTTAAGTTGGATTTTATTTTGTAGGTAGCGGCAAAATCCAAATTTTCTATATGCACGAAAAGCTTTGCTTTTGAACATTTCGAGACGCGTCTGAAAGTTGCCAGGACTTACTGTCCCCATGATGTCGATGAGGCGTTAATGAAGTCAGTGGGAAAGAAGAGGAACGAAGAATTAGGTGGAAAAAATAAAATGATAGATGCATGTGCAAACGTTAAAACAGAGGCAACGGCTACTTTTACAGTTCTTCCACCTATTGTTAGAGTAAGTATCAATTTATAAGGAGCTGCACCACTAATAACCTATAATCCGATCATTTTCTCATGTTAATCCAAATCTTATCCCTTTCACCTTCTACCAAGCAACTGCTTACTATTAAATAACTATTAAATATTGTTTTTTATTTTAATTTTCAGACGCCAGCGGAACAGAAGACGCGTCTTAATAAAATACTCTTGAATCTCTTAGGCAAAATGCCAACAAAACAAACCCTCGACGTATCTTACTTACTAGAAGGAGGTCGCCGTAGGAAAAAGCAGCAAACCGATAATGCTACTAGTAAATAATAGTTAATGTCTCATCGGTTATTGAAATGGGTGATATTTTTAGATATTCTCTATTACTTAGGTCAGTTGGGGTCAGGAACGAATTTTCAGAACTTGGTTTAGATCACTTTAGCCTGCAATCTTATAGCATCAGAAATGTATAGGACAAAAGTTCAGGTAATCAATAAGGCAAGTCCAACCCCCTCGGAAATACAAAGCACGTTTATTGGTTGCTAGGGACTTTTTAGAAAGGCTGCGCGGTCAGTAAAATCAAACACAACCTGATATTGTAAAAACTAATATTTTATTTTGTTCCCGGTAGTTTATCTTGGATGCGTCAAGCGTTCAAGTCGCTCTGTCAAAATTTAGTTGTCGTAAGGTCTAAGTTCTAGAACTAGCAGACTAGTTCGCAGTCTTTCATGTATATGTTGGGGAATCTATCGATTTGTTTCTTTCTTCTAATTTAAGTTAAATATCGTATTTATAAGGGATAAAAACACAATTGATGGCAATGACGTTTAATCTCATAAATACAATATTTAACACTGACCATTGAAAAAATAGTAATTAGAACAAGTTGTGGATATTAGATTTAAATGACGCTGGTTGGTAATTCAGTCATATCAAAAACCATAAATATTAGCACATGCCATGGATGACTTGTGATTACACTTCAATTACCAATTCAAAGGTTGTTTGTAAACATATATTATTCAAAATTTTACTAAGAAAATTGCAAACAAGTTAGGTTAAGTTTACTGTAATGATTTTAACTATCTTTTAATTTATTATAAAAAAAAATGTTTGACACGTAGCGTAGGTTGAGTTTACCGAAAGTACAAGCTGATGAAGTAGCAAATGTCAAACATGGAACAAAAAATTTTGGCACAGCAGTGTTGGCATGTTTTTATAACGTAGATGCTGTATGCTTTAAATATAAAAAGAAAGCTTTAAAAAAGTTCATTTTGTTTATATTATGTTATAAATTCTGCAATTTTTGATTTGTATAAAACAAGAATGGGTAAGTATTAGTTTCTTTGGAGATTAATTGCAGTTAATTATTAGAAATTTTTTTTTTTTGGCAATTACCCTTTGATATATTAAGGAATAGATTTCTCAATCGTCAAATCAGCAGTTGTCATATTTCAGCAGATGTTTGCAATTAATCTCAAAAGAGACAAATATTTACTCGTTATTTATTTTTTTTTGTATGCGCTTTGCCGCTGTATCAAAAAAAAAAAAAAAATTGCTTCATATAAATAAAAATTGCAGAGTAGTATAATCAAAATATACTTTTTAAAAGCTTTCTTTCTGTATATTTGAAGCATACAACATAAGCATTATAAAAACATCCCAACACTGCCAAACCCAAATATTTTTGACATTTGCGGCTATATTCAGCTTGTACTTTTGGTAAACTCAACCGACACGTAATTTATTTAATATTTATTTACACTTATATTTATTTTACACTAAAAGTATATAATTTATTTACAACATTTATTACAGTTTATTATATTCCCGACAATATGCGCATTACATTTCACAACTCGACTTGATATTCATTTTTATACTGAAAACTAAATCTAAATTCGCTTATTTATATCATATTAACTTGTTCTGGAACTTCATCGAAGCCAGCCTCTGCTTTTAAAAATTTCTTCAGACATGATATCGCCAGGTAGAGAAGTCTACAGCTTCATTGGGTGGTAAGGGCTGGCGTTACAATCCACGTTTATTCTTATTATACAGAGTACTCAAATTAAATGCTTTTTAGCCCAAAACAGCTAGTTTCCCAATGGAGAAATCAAGTTCACAGACGCCATTAATTTAAATTGCAAGTTGCATTGGAAATTAACAAACTTGAACCTCAAGACTGAATTCCAGTAGGTCGCTCATCAAAAGAACAACTAAAATTCAGTTAACGACATGGGGGTCGTTTTTTTTATCTCGGTGGTTTCCCGAATGGACCTTGATATGATTTGAAACGAACTGGAGTTGCTATTAACAGTACTTAACTACACAGAATGTGAACATTATGTGGAGCAATATTAAAGATTCTGATCTAGAGACACAGAACGAAACTATACAAAAGAAGAAAGCCGAAATTCTTGGATGACACCAGAAATAATGGAAATCATGGAACAAATAAGGAAATATAGAAACAAATACCCAGATAAATACAAAGAAAACCATAAACGATTGAAGATGTTTTTATGGACACAAGAATGGAACTAACACAAATTGATAGCTAGGAAACTCAAACAATAATAACTACTATCCTCTTTAACTTATACAAATCTGGTGAGATACCTACGGAATGGCTACTATCAACCTTTGTTCCGCTACTAAAAATTCCAGAAAAATGGGTTTTCTGACATGCTGATTTATTGCTCAAAAAAAATTTAAACTATCTATTGTATTCTAATTTGAATGTCTGTTTTTAACTATTTAACTATCCCATTTAATTAATTTTATTTAGTTGTGCCGCTGACTTCGAGGTTCTTTTCTAGCTGCCAAATTGTTGTTGATGGAAACTTTTCAGTCGTGGTAACAGTTTCCTTCTTAAATCAGTGTAGAAAAACAATTTTCTAATAGTATAAACTCTCATAGAATATAAGTTTATAAAACTTCTTTTGTCACAATCGTTTACGTCCAGACACTTTATAGTAATCACGGATTATTTGCATTAATCAACTCATTCTATGTTTTTTGTTGCAGTTTGTAAAATAAGTGATCTAAACCAAATTACTAACACTAGCTTGAAATTTTTCTAATTTCCAATCGACCTTATGTTTGCAGCATAGATCTGCACTAATTGTTTAAAATATTATGGAATATTTAGAGAAAGGTCGATTTGCGTAGGGTGATCCAAATTTTGAAAAAATAAAAGTCAGTCAAACATATAATATTGTTAATAATAACTAATAAATGTTTCAATACCAAATATTGATTGGTTCTTTTTCATTTAGTATTATTTTAAAACATTGAAACATCAAATTTGAAATAGAGGACACACAATCCTCTTTATTGACTTTATTTGGATCACCTAGTGTAAACCAACCTATGAAAATTGTTTTTTAATAGTGATATTTTAATGCGCAGTTTAATTTTTCCTCTATCTCTCTATCTCTTTTTTAATTAAGTTTTAAAACCCTTATTGGTGCACTATGTACATTGTTCTGTTTTATCTCACTTGGTAATTTTAACGACTAGTCATAGAATTGTTAATAAGTTTTTTATTAATGAGCACATATTATTTATTTGTACAGAAAAAAAATTGTTGCTTATATTTTCGCGTTGAATTTGCAATTAGGTTATTTAGGAATCGGTACAAATTTTAATTATATTCATTATACGTACGGGGATTCACCGAGAATACTGTTGTAACGTCACGTACTATTATTTTTCCCGAATACATAGAGCTGTAATAAAAAATTGAGACAAAAGCCGTTGCGTAACCGTGCAATTAATGAAGTGTAACCTTGTAACTGTAACCATGTTAAATTAACAGCCTACCAAGAACCTTTTCCCTTTGTCTTTTGTTCAATGTTCAATTATTGATTTTTATACGACTACATTTGAAATAAAGGTGTCTTCTGGCCTGGTAGACTTTTCCACATTACGACTTTTGTGTATACCCTAAATCTATGTTTGCGGCTTTTGAATAGTGTCGAGCTTGTAAACTTTTTCCTTTTTGTGAAGCTGATGATAACCTGCTGGACCTCTTTCAGAACTTGCTGAGCTTCTTCATGGTTTTGATGACTACTTTTTAATAGTTTCTCTTCGTATTCGGAAGTAGCATACCTGAATCCAGTTTCATATTTTTCGGATGACTGGGGCTAAATTGTACCTTTTGGTTCTTTGCTTTATCTATTTGTTCCAGATCCATTTTTTTCCACGAAAAGCTAGGTAATTGATAGACTTGCTCTTATTATTGCGCTTTGTCAAAATTGTTATCTTAGATTTCTCAATTACGAGATTCTTCACCTGAGACACAATTGCCATCCCCTTTGCCTTCTAGTATACGCCGCAGTCATCGATATTTTGTATTGTGACGTTCACGAAATGAGGGATTTTTGACTCAAGTTCTTCTTCTTTTTCACGTGCCGTATCGGAGTTATCCAACGTTGACGATCACCATTGCGAAGGTCTTTCGATCTTCTGCCACATACATGGAATAACTGTCCTGAATATGATATCTGAGTCCATTCACGAATGTTTTTTAACCAAGGAACCTGTTTTCTATATACATCTCTACGACCTTCTATTTTGCATTTAAGGATCAGTTGTAGTATTCTATATCGATTTCCCCCTCACTACATGTATCAGATATTTCCCGATGTTTAACAATCTTTAGTAATTCTTTATCTTTGTTAACCCTGCTTAGTACTTCATCTTTAGTTTTTCTTGCTGTCCAAGGTATCTTCATCATCCGTCTATGAATTCACATTTCCAATGATTCAATTATATTCTTACTTAATACTTTTAGTGTCCATACTTCTGTTCCATACAAAAATACAGACCAAATATAGCACTTAACTATTCTTTATCTTAGTTCTAAGTTGAGATGATTATTACAGAGAAATGTCTGTATTTTCATAAAAGTAGTTTTAGTTATTGCTATTTTTCGTTTTATTTCTATGTCTGGATCTAGTTGGTCCGTTATAACAGTTCCAAAATATATAATTTTGGGAACTTTTCAACTTCAACTTTTCAAACAGAATCACGTTAGCTTAATTAATTGATGTTTCCTGTAGTGTTTACTTTTTATTATAAAAGCGCGACCTTTCTTTGAATTGTCTCTTTAGCGTTATTTATTTTGGGGTAAAGACTTTTCTAGCAGTTTTATCTTAACTAAAATACTTTCTTATATATTTCATTACTGAGATTATTCTACAATGTCAGTAGCGTTTTTCATTTAATTGACATTCATGTTGGTGCCAAACCATCTTCCTCTTTTTCTTCCTTCATGTATGTTGGCTTTAAAGCTTTTTTCTTCTTCAACATTAGCCTCCTAAATTGTTTAAATTGTCGCACCATCTTTTTCTTGGTCTGCAAATACTTCTTCGTCCATTTGGTGACTGATCTTGTGCTATTCGTACTATCATATCCTCTGCCATTCTACTAATGTGTTCGTTCCACTCTTGTTTCCGTTTTGTCACTCATCCATTTATGTCTTCTATATTGCGTGCTCTTCTTATGTTTTCGCTTCTCTCCCTATCCAACAGACTTTTCCCTGATATTCGTCGGATTATTTTCATCTCTGTTGTTTCTAGTAGTCGTCTCGTTTTAGATGTGTCATGTCTTGCCTCCTCCGTGTATGTTAATATAGATCTAAATTCTGTTTTATAGATTCTTGTTTGTGTGTCTTGGTGTTTGTTCTTCTAGATTTTGTCATTAAGCTTTGTTGTCGTACTTCTTCAACATCTCCGTAACTAGTTATATCATGTCAAACTATTATCAACATTATTAATAATATTCATACATTATTAATAATGTTGACAAACTATTATCAACATTATTTCTAGCCATCAACCCAAATTTGTACAAGGTTCAAGACATAATTCAGGTTACTATTCTGTTGCATGTTTATACATTGCGGCATGTCTCCATAAGTAGTTTAGAACACAATAATTTACAGGTATATAAGCATTAGAGGTAAAAGTATTGTTCAATGTTCTTACAAATTATTTTTTCACAGAAACCTTACGAGCAATAAGTAAATAGTAAAAGACGGTTCTCTGCGTACTCATTCGTCAATTTTTTTTGTTTCAGGCGTTAATATCATTTTTATCCTATTTTGTTTGAAACTTAATGATTCAACATCGTATATTATTAAGCAATCGAGCTTCTCAAAATTCTTATCGCGACAAAATATTGATGTCACTGTTACAGAAAAGTTGTTTCGTCTTTTATCATTTAGCTTTAGCCAGCAATTTATTATGGATGGATGGATAATACTGCAAAAAATTCTATATAATTTAGATTGTGTGGGTGAACCTGACTTTTTGTC